AGGAAGGAAGGAAGGAAGGAAGGAAGGAAGGAAGGAAGGAAGGAAGGAAGGAAGGAAGGAAGGAAGGAAGGGCCCCAGCCCTCCTTGCCCCAGAGCAGCGTGGCTGTTCCATGGAGTTGCCTGGCCTTTTCCGGGCCACGGATGGGAAGGCCCAGGGCCGTTTGCTCCCCGTGTGGGCAGCCAGGGCTGGGAAAGATGCCCTTGAAGTTGGGTTTGCCAGGGGTGACCCAGGAGCCTCCCAGAGTGGTCTGGAAATGACAGCTCCCTCCCTCCCTCCCTCCTTTCTCTTCTCTGGCACTTGTGGGCCTGGGAGTCCCGTCCCCCCCTCCCCCCCCGTCTGTGCCCCTTGAGGGGTGGGGCTTCCTAAGCTCTGACCATGACAGAACTGCCCCCTTGCTTGGCTTTTGGGCTGACCCAAAGACGGGGCATCCCAGAAGCCCCCTGGTGTTTTCCTGGCGTTTGGGCTCTCCCCTCTGCCCAGGGAGCCACTAGGGAAGCTGAGGGAGGGAGGGGCTGGGGGTCAGGCCAATCTGGGGCACCGTACCTGCTGGCCGGACAGAGGCATCCTGGGAAAGCCTGGGAGGGGGCAGCCACCGTAGCTGAATCTGCCCAGGGCTGGGGCCTTTCTTGCTGATGTGTCCTCCAGTTGTGGCCGAGTCTTAGCAACCACACAGGTGTCCTCCATGGCGGTGTCTGGAAATCTCCCTCCTCCTCCTCCTCCTCCTCCTCCTCCTGTCTTCCCCAGACAGGAATCCAGGAGGGGATTCGGTCCTTTGGGAATTGCAGCCCTGCCCTTTTCCCAAAGGTTGGCTTGGGCTTAGCTTGCTTGGTGAAAAAACAGGATTCGGGTGGCCTCTTTTCTGAGCCACAAACATCTTGAAGACATCAGCTATTGTGGCGTCGTCCTTGGGGCTCTCTGAGCTCAGCGGTTTCCTTGCAGACGTTTCATGGCCCAACTGGGTAACATCATCAGTGTTGGAAGGGAGGGGAGGTTGCTCTCTGTTTTATGTGCTAATGACTTGCCCCGTCAGTGTTGGTGGGGCTATTTTCTTCTTGGTGCTTCCTTGGTGAAGCTGCTGCTTCCTCCCTAGAGCAAAGCAAACAGATGAAAGACCACAACGCCTCCTGGCCTGCGGTCGACACCCAGATAAGCAGAGGTTTACACCTAGCAGGAAGCAATACTGCAAACAAGCTAGCAGTAAACTGCAGCCTAACCGAGGAGTTAAAAAGGAGAAAGCAACAGCCCCGCCAACTCCTAACAGAGCGAGCCACTTGTGTATAAACAGAGAGCGGAGCAGCCCACTCCCTCCTAGCATGGGTGATGTTGTCTAGTTGGGTAATGAAATGCCTGCAAGAAAACGGCCAAGCCCAGAGAGCACCAGAACGCACGGAAGCTGCTGCTTCTTCGTCAAATTGCCAGGCGCCTCCCGATTTCTGCCTCGTGGACCTTCCTCCTCCCTCGTCCACATGCATTTTGTTTCTCGAAGAGAGACGTTTCAAGGTGGCCTCCATTGTTGAAGGCGGGGGGGGGGGTCTCTAGCAGACAATTTGGGCAGGAGGGCCAAATTCTCTTTTTGTTCTGACACAGAGTGGAGAGTTTTTTTGAGGGGGGGGCCTCATCCCATGGGGTGCTACTAGGCGGAGTGTGGAAAGTAACACGGGATGCTGCAGGTGAGAAGGGAAGCCCCACTACCCACAAAAGGGACAGGGGTGAAGGGGGGCTTTCCCCCCCCCCAGTCTCCTCACGCAAGAAAAATGTGCAGCCTCTGGCGGTTCAGCTTTCGACAGAGGAAGGGAGAGCTCCATTTAGGCTCTTTCGCTCTGTCTGCGTGTGTGTGTGTGTGTGTGTGAGAGAGAGAGAGAGAGTCCTGGTTCTAGGGGGAGGCCAGGGTGGCCCTCTTGGTCAGCCTTGGGGTGTGGTGCCTTGGGGTGTGGTGCGTGTGGTGCGTTGTGATACCTTTCTCCCTTTGCGCCCTCCCCCCCACCTTTAACCTTGCTCTGCCTCCTAAAGGCTTCGCTCTTTCTGAGCTCAGCGCCCGAAAACCTTTCAGACGCGACCCCGCTTGTTCAGCTCCCCAAACGGATAGGAAGGGACCAGTGCGAAGAGGGGGGGTTTCTCCGGGTGGCCCTACCTGGGGCAGCCGATGGGGGCTGAAAGGACCTGGGAAGCGGGTGGGAAGGGGCTCCAGGGGCCACTCTTGGTTTTGGTCAGCGCAAACCTAGCAGCTGTTTTTTTCTCAGCGAAAGCCCCAATCCAGCAGGGCAGGCAGCCTGGGGAAAGGGGGTTTCCTCCCATTTGTTTTGGCTTCTGACAAGTCCCAGGGACCCAAAAGCTGGCAGCTCCAGCATGGCCAAGTCTCCGCCCGGCTTGAGGGGAACCAAGATAATGGCCGGGCCCAGAAGGGCTCTCAAGGCTCTGCCCCTTTCTTCATGCCCAGGGGGCCTTCGGATTGCTCCATCACAGCAGAACTTCCTGGCCAGAGACCAGCCAGGCTCCACGGAAGCACGTGGCTCCTTTCCGAGGTCGGGCCAGGAAATCTGGCAGCTGCCACGGGAAGGTCTGGGGTGGCCTCGTTTCCTTCACTTCTTGTATTTATGCCTCCCATGTCACCATCCAATGACTTTGGGCACCTTCTGTGTGACCCTCCTGGGTGTCGTACAAAGAGAATGTTGTTGTGGTGGTTGTGCTCTTTTGTGGGCAAGAGTTCAGGAGGGTTTGCCCTTGCCTGCTTTCCAGGGCTGAGAGGGAGTGACTGGCCCACGGTCAGCCAGCTTGGGCCTCTCTCCCAGGCTCTGACAAGGGCTCTGTGTCAGAGGCAGAGACGGGGCCAGGGCCGCCTGACAGTTATCAGCTGCCTTTGGAGTCAGAGATGAGTGGGGAAGAAGAACAGCTGGAGCCTGTTCCCGGTGTGTGCATGCGCAGAGTTGCCAGACAAAGGGAACAGTTGAGGAACAAGGTTCGACTTGGGAGTAAAGGCCCAGGTGGATGGTGAAAGGCCCCTCCCATAGGGAAAAAAGGAGCAAAACGGGAGTGGGGTTTGCAGGAGACGATTAGTTTGTTTAGTTAGTGTGAAGATTTGTTTATCTGAGTTGGTGACTCATGGAAGCTGTGGTGATGGAGAGCAAGACGGGGTCTTCTTCCCGGGTCTGGCCCTTGAGCGTCATTCCAGCAACCTCTTTCTAACTGGCCAGCCAGTGTCCTGGAGCAGGAAGGCAGAAGCGAAGCCCCCTGCTTGTCCGTCACCCCCCCCCCCCCCCCGTGGCTGCTGTGAAGGGCTCCAAGGGAGAAGGCTCAGCTCTTCCCGTGGCAAAGAGACCCACAACTACGCTTGGTCTTCCCTCCCATACACTTTGGGCTTCCAGCTCCCATTGCCTCAACACCCCTGTGAGTGTAACACACACACACACACACACATTGTGCTCCCTCCTGTGAGAATGCCGAGTGCAACCACATCGGATTGCACACCAATCTCTTCCTTGCTGGGTTAGGATGGGGTTTCTGCCTCACCCAGGGCAGGGTAGATGGGCCCAAAGACCCCGCCGGCTCCTGAGCCAGGTCGTAAGCCAGAGTCTCCAGATGAGGTTTTGAAACCCCTCGCCCACCCCACCCCCACCCCCGTGTGAAAGGGGGGCACCCAGCAAGCGGGGGGAGGGGGGGGCTGCCCATGTTGCTTGGTGAGCCGCCTCTGTGGAGAAGTTCCTGCAGAATAATTGCCCATCCCCACCCCGTGGGAGATTCCTGGGTGAAAGTCCTGGGAAGGGGCTGCTGGGGGGTCCTCCGAGATACGGCCGGGGGTGGGGCCAGGGGCTGAAAGCTGAACTTTTTGTCTCCGCCAGGTCTTGGGCTGCCCTGAGGAGGCGCCTTCTGCCAGCCCGCTCTGTCCCCCAGGGCCCATCAATGGGTAGCTCCAATGCCGCAGGTGCCCTGGCGAATGGGACCGAAGATGGATAGCCCCCCCAAGCTGACAGGAGAAACCCTGATCGTTCACCATATTCCGCTGGTGCATTGCCAGGTGCCGGACCGGCAGTGCGGCAGCACCGCCCAGCGCACCAACCCTTTCTTTCCCTTCGACCTGGGGGTCAGGCGGGCCAGTTCGCTCCCCGAGAAGACCCTCCTGCACACAGACTCGCTGGTCTACAGCAGCCTCCTCAGAGCTTCCGACGGGGCTCCGGAAGAGGAGCCGGTGGGTGGGCAGAGCCCTTCCCCCACACTGGCTGTCCCTGCAGCCCCCCGGCGGCAGAACCCCTTCCTGCTGAAGGACGGCGAGGCCTGGGATCTCTGTGAGGACGACTCGGAGCAGAAGTCCTTCCATCTGCATGATGGCCGGTCTGCCTTCCGCCTGCACGAGCCGGCGCTGCCCCCCTTCCATCTGCATGGTGGCAGCCCTGTGGTGAGGCCCTGGGATGGCAGCCAGCGGGTGGACCCGGTGGAAGGCCACGCTGGCCTGGCAGCCAATGAGGAGGCTCAGGACAAGGGCTACTTGGTGGCAGAATGCATGGAGCTAGACGAGTACAGCTGCCACCGTGGGGACCCCTCCAGCCTCTCCCTGGAGCAGGAGTGGGCCAGCGAGTCAGATGAGCTGATGAACAACCCAGAGGCCGTCCGCAGCCGGACGTGCAGCTGCTCCACCTCCGAACTGCAGCGCTGCCGGTGCTACAGCCTCTCGAGCCAGTCGGAGCCCCTGGACCAGCAGATGGGCTATGTCAGTGACTCCTCCTGCAACAGCTCCGATGGCATCCTGGTCAACTTCAGCACCCTCTACCAGAGGCGGCACGGCCACCCTCACACCAACCTGAACTCCGGCCCCTTGTCCTGCGACTCCTCTTCGGGCAGCCAATCAGACATGGCTGCCTTTTACCTCGATCTGCACTCCTCTTCCCACGAATCCAAGATGCCCGGAGAGCTACAGGATCTGGAGGGGCCGGGGAAGTCCTGCGGGTGCCACCACCCTTCCTCCCCTGTCCTGGATGCCAACTGCAACTCCTACCCACCGCTCTGCGATCCGTGCCCGTCCGATGGCTCTGACCTGACCGCCTGCTTCCAGAGCCAGGCGCGGCTCGTGGTGGCCACCCAGAACTACTACAAGCTGGTGACGTGCGACTTGTCCTCCCAGTCCTCCCCCAGCCCCCCTGGCTCCTCCATCACCAGCTGCTCTGAGGAGCAGGCCAGGAGCAGCCCCCTCCAGCCCACCGAGTACTACCTCTTCCAGAGACCTGGGGAGAGTGACATGGAGGGGTCCCGGGATGAGGAGTCCCAGGAGGAGTCGGACAAAAATGCCATCGAAGGACAGGTCTACATCAACGTCTCCCCGCCCAGCCTGGCCGCGGGCAGGCAGCGCTCACGGAGCTACGACCGTCACCTGGACCGCAGCAGCCCCTCCAGCCGGCTGGGCTCCCTGGAGCGCATGCTGAGCTGCCCAGTCAAGCTGAGCGACAGCCCCTCCTTGGCCCTCCAGAGCTCCCCTCCCAAGCGAGTGACCTCCTTCGTGGAGCTGGCCAAGGGCCGGAAGAAGAACGGCTCCTCGCCACCCATTCGGACCAGCCGGGACTCGTCCCTGGAGTTCTCGCCCATCCCCGAGGGCCAGAAGGACAGCTCCGTCTTTCTGGAGAGTCAGGAACGGCACAGCCAGATCCTCCCACCCCTGCCATTGGCGTGCTCCGAAGGTGAAGATGCCAGAAGAGCCGCCGCCTTCAGGGAGGTGCCCACCTGTGGGCAAGAGGAGGATGAACCGCTGTTTTTTTCTGCCGTGTCAGAGACGGGGGCTGGTGGCGGCAGCATCTTTGGCCAGAAGGAGATTCGAGCCCGAGCTGATGGTAAGCCCCCCACCCTGCCCCTCTCCCACTGCGGAGGGATGCCCGGTTGAGGGAAACTGAGTGGGGCTTAGGCCAGGGGAGCCTCACTCTAGTAATAAATGCCCCCAATCCTTACTAGGCCGGGGTTCAGAGATGCCCCATGGCTGTTGGCAGGGAAGAGCGTGGAAGTTGCTGCAGGGACGGATGACCAGCTGTCCTGGCCAGGGCCCTTCCTTGGGCACCGGGCATTGCAGCAAGAGCCACAAGTTGGGCAGGTTGAGAAGGTTAGCTGGATTTTAGATCCATGAGGATGAACCTTTTGGACTCAGAATCTCAAAAATTGAGAAAACACCTTCCGTGACTCTGCTGGTGTGTCATCCCACCCACCTTGGGCCAAAGAGGCCTCTCTGGACGTTCCTGTTGCCTGGACTCACCCTCCCCCTGGACCCTCTGAAGCCTCCCATGAGGGCCCTGCTGCCTCGGGAGCATCAGAAAGTCGCATGAGAACCCTTGCGCAATGGTTGGACACCTGGGAGGCTGTGCGAGAGCAAGACCTTCTCGTATGACTTCCAAAGGGCCCAGAGGTCGGGCGTGTCACCCAAAATGGCACACGTGTCCCAGGTTCCCCCTCACTGTTCTAGATCCTAATGGAGGAGGGTGGCTGTGCTTCCACCGCTCTTTATTGTGGCTGCTTCATGGAGGGCCCTGCGGGAGAGGAGGGGGCATCAGAAGGGGGTATGTGGGTCCCTTCAGGTCCAAAAGGGGAGTGTACTTCCGAGCTAGGACAACCTGTCCAGCCGCAACACTTTTGTGGGATTTGCAGTCCAGCCCCACTCGGCCATCCCCCCTTTATGTCTGTCTAGGGCCGGTCAGGGACAGGATGGGAAGAGGAAAGCATCGACCGTTGTTATGAGCTTTGTGGGCAACGCAGTGATTCCTCGTAGCCACAGCTGTGACCACTGGTTGTCCTTCAGGATAGCTGGACAAAGAGATCCTCTGCAGCCGTGTTGTGTGTGTCATTTAATGGGGTGAAAAATAATGTTTGCAATTTTTTTTCAGTGAGGGGTTCTAAAAGCATGTATTTTTACACTAAGAATTCAAATCTGCTATTATTTTTGCAATTGCACGATATTTAGCTTGTTATGGTAAATCCATGTCTGATCATATACCCCACAAAAGTTTTTTGTAATCCAAGTACTGTTTATCTTCTCAGAATTACACCTTGTGCTACAAAAGTTGGTTTTTTTTCTGCATGAATCTTATTTAGCTAAACAAAAAACAATCCATGCATCATAAACTAATATCAGAAAGCAATTATCTGACTTACAAAAATGTTTAAGCGAGTTTCCTCAAGTCTTGTTTTGATTCCTTCTTCGGCATGAGCCGCTCACTTGCTTCTTGGCCTCTGACATAATCCTCCCATTTCTCCTGGGTCTCCA